TTAAAAGGGCCACCCCTTAATCACCAAATGGGCATTGCCTTTGTCAAAGTGAGAACTCAGAAAGATTTTAGCTTAAAAAGGCCAAGGTCTCCCACCACATCCTGGGCCATCTCCAGTTGTCCTGATCCATATCTGGTCACTGGACTCAGATGGCTCCAGAGGAGAAAAAGAGGCTGGTGACTTTGCACAACCTCCCTCACTTAAAAACAATTCCCTTGCAAGTCATGGCATCATCTTCCTGATCTCATGGTCCTCTTTGAGAATGAAGGACAAGCCACAACCAAAAAGATACTTTTCATAGCTAAATATGAATAACAAAATTCATTTGGAAGAAAAAAAGATCTAGAATATCAAGGGAAATAAGAAAATAATTTAATTTTTTTCCTCAAGAAAACACCTCTAAAACAAAGCTTAAGTATAGCTCATATTTAGGTTCTCCCTACATATGGACAATATGATCATTCTACATAAAAATACTCAATGTATAATTTGAGTATTAGTTTGGAACATTTTAAAAATTTCCTTGATCACAGAAAATGCATGACATAAAGGATTTTCAAGCCAACGTGAGCTATAATACAGGATATATTTTGAAATGGGACAGAGATTTCACTGGAAAATGGAATTTCCAGTGGATAAATTCCCTCTACCAGTGCAAATAAGCACCAACTCTATAGCTTATAGACTCCAAGAATTGCATAGAGCACTGAGAAGTTGTGACTTCTTCAGGATCAGAAATACAGAATGAATCAGAAGTAGAAGTTGAACTTGAGGGTTTCTGACTCTGTGGCCAGCTCTCTATCCACTATGCCATTCTTCCGCTTAGAAAGTATTCAAACAACCCATTTCACATATTGCATTACTCCTGGAAGATAAAGACCTTTTGTTGGACTGCTGAAGAGATATTTCATGTTCATTTTAGTCCTGTACTATCTAAGCAATTGACAATAGTTTTCTTGGAAGGTTGGCAAAGTTCAGATCTCCTAGCCCCCTCATTGCATGGCTTTAGTTCAACAGTCATACTGTTGACCACCTTCTATATGAACAATGTATATTATTAAAGACATTTCTGCCTGCACAGCTAGTGCCAGACTCCGAAACTCAACTCTCAAACTCAAGATTATCATTAATCAACCAAAAACCATTCATTAAGCACCACTACATGTCAGCACAGTGCTAGGCACTGGAGGTACAAATTAAAAGAGTGAAACAATCTTTATTGCTAAGGAACTTACCTTCTAACAAGGTTGATAAGATATATGTATATAATTACCTACAGAATAAATATAACTATAATAAATACAAATGAATACAAAGCAGTTTTAAATACAAGGTAGTTTGGAGGGGAGGTATTCGCAGTTGGAGGTATTAGGAATGATTTCATATCGAAGACAGTGTTTGAGCTGTGTCTTAAAGAGAAGGATTCTATGAGGCAGAGGTGAGGAGGAAGGACATGGAGGGTGAGTGGCCAGTGCAAGGGCATAGAGACAGAGATGGTATGTGAGGGACAAAGAGAAGGCCAGTCTGGTTTTCACAGATTGTGGGAAGGGGAGTAATGTGAAATGAGGATGGAAATGTAGGTTGGAGCTAGTTTGTGAATGTTTTAAACACTAAATAGTGGAGTCTTCCATGTGACTCTACAGGCAATAGAGAGCCAGGGGAGTTGATTGAGTAATGGGTGACATAGTAAAATATGCACTTCAGGAAAATCACTCTTGGCAGCCTTGAAGATTGGCCTGGAGTAGAGGAACACTCTGGACAGGGGGAGTAATTAGGATTGGTATCAACAATCTAGGATAGAGGTATGAGGGGATGAATTAAGGCAGTGTTAAGACATCACCCCATGATATCATTGGTCTTCTTTGAAAATGAAGGACAAATAGCAACAATACCAACAAAGAAGGGATTGGACATAACAGAGGAATAAAAACGGAAGTTTCAACTGAATTTTATTTGCATAGTGAGACAGATTGAGGAGGCAAAGAAAGCTGAGGTTATGAACTTGTGAAGCTAGGGGAATGTGGGTGTCTTTGACAAAAACAGAGAAATTTGGAAGAAGGTCAGGTATTTGAGAAAAGATAATGAGTTCTCTTTTGGACAAGCTGAATTGGAGATGTTTCTGTTGCACCCAATTTAAAATATCCAACAGGAAATTGGTGATTCAGGATTGACACTCAGGGGAGAGATTGGTACTGTGTTTATAAGCTTGTTAATCATAGAATGGAGGATAGAAACCACAAAGCTGGAATAGTTGGTGGTGGGGGTGAATGGGCGGTTAGCTAGTCTCTCACCTGTATTCAGGAAGAGAAACATAAAATCTGAGGAAAACAGCTAGAAGTGTGAGGTTGAGGGATTCTAGTATCAAGGTTATCTCAGCAAATGAATCTGCCATTGTTATATGCTTCCCTGTGAGTTGCCATGGTTTGGTGGGGGGAGGGGAGAAGAGAAATTCTTCCATCCCTTGTTGTTGCACTACAACCTAGAAATTCAAGAGAGAAAAAAATCAGAGTAAAATAATAAGGGGGCAAAGTCGTTTCCATTGCTGACTCTTACAGACCATAGGGGAGACAGAGGGAGGTTCCATTGACAAGATCCTTTCTCCCCTGATTTTCAGTTTCTAATCACCTTCAAGGTAACCTCAATTGTTGGGGACCAAGCAGGATGTCTCAGTGTATACAAGGCAAGGTACTAGGGCAATAACTAGCTATGTAGGGGGTTATCCCACCTCCTGACAAAGTTCCATTCCCTGTAATCACACCAGGTTAATAGCATGAGACTCATCCATCTGATCAGAGGTTCTCCTGGTCATCCTTGCTCCTCTGTTCCCTCTTTTAAAGTCACACTACCACCTAGTTCAGGCCCTCATCAGTTCTCCCCTATTGTAAGAGCAGTCTGAGTTTTCTTCTTGACAACAATCTTAGCTCATATAGCCCATATACCAAAACAATCTTCCTAGTACAATGCTCTGATGATGTCATTCCTCTGTTCCCAAACCTTCAATGGCTCCCTATTGCCATTAGGATAGAATATCAATTTATTGTGCTTGCATTTATAGCCTTCAACAATCTGCCTCCATATATCTATCTTGTTTCACATTGTTCCCCTTCAAGGATTCTAAGCCACACTATTCACCCATCCTCTCCTGTACTCTCATTTCTTACTCAGCTAAGGAACTGAAATGTTTAGAAAGCTGTTTTTGTCTTCTTTAATTTCCTCATAACAGAAAGTGCCTGCCCTGATTTTGACTCAGATAAATTCTTAGGTGGAGTACTTTTAAATCTTAAAATACTGACTTGATCCTTGGAAATAGCTCTTCAGGGCTAAGCTGGGGTTCTAACTTTGCAAGGAAGGCTCTTCCCGCTTCATCTCCTGCTCAAAACTGCTCTCTGGCTATTCCAACTGCTGATCCAATCTGCTGAGCAATATATTCCAAGCAGCAGAAGAAGCATTCTGGTTTAAATGCTTAAAGGTTGTTGGGAAAAATACTTGATTACTTATTAATGGTGTTTGAACCTAGCTTTATGTGTCTAGAAATTGTCTAACCCCAAACTGTAGGTCATGCTGACCTCAGAAACTGTCCAGGGAAGCCAGCATGCTTCTTTTGGGTCTGCTCACCTGAGTCTTTCGGTTCACCCAAAAAGCTTGTGTTTTGGGCTCCCCAAAAGCTTCTGTTTTGGCTACATCCAAATTTTGTTGAATGTTTATACTTGTGTGCTGATGCATATCTCAAGAAACCTATCCATGTGCAGGCCACCCAACTTGCACCATTGTTTGAACTCTAATTTAAAATTTAAAATAGATTTGGGGGAGGGAGTCACACCTTTTCTGGCTCCCTCCTTTGCTGAATCAACTTAACAAAATTCTTTATTATTTGTAAATTTTATTTTTTATAATTTCTAAAAACCATTTTTTGTGTTTTGAGGTTTGTTTTTGAACAACAAGATTTGCTGGAACATCTCACAAGAATAGTTCTAGAATATTCTTTTTTTTTCAAGGTCCAGTTTCAGTGCCGCCTCCTCCAGGAAGCTGCCCTTCACTCTCTCAGCTAAAGGTGTTCTCTCTTTCGGAAAATTTTATTGGACCACTTTTTTTGGCACTCTCCCTTTTTGCCTAGATTTCATCTTCTCTTAAATCATGTGTAATTGGGTATATGTTGTGAGGGATTCTTTATTTCTGTGTGTGTTTTGGGCTCCTTGGAAAGGACAATGAAACCTATGGACTCCAAAGCAGAATTTTTTTTTTGATAGTGGATAACGACAAATTTTAATTACAGGTTAGAGAAAATAAAAATGTAGTATTTTTCTTATGTAGATTCCAGAACATCTTGAAATTTATCCACAGACCTTGTGAATTCAAAGCCAAGAAACCCTCCTTTAGACTATTAGGTTTCTGAGGGAAGTAACTGGATAATTTTTCTTCTCTATGTTACCAGCATCTCCTTTAGTGCCTTGTTCTAAAGTAAGTGTTGAATAAATGTTGCTTGAATTGAATTGTTCCATTGAATCTATTATCCATTCCTTGGGAACATGTAGTCAGCTTTTCAATGAGAGTTTATTTAGTAAAAATAATGGGGCAAAATTTTTTAAAATTACATTTAATATAAGAATGGGATATAATTAATACTATACAAAAATATACTTTCCTCAATAAATACTAATTTGACCAGCATAAATACATATCAATTATAAATATAATATAAATATAAAAATCATATAACTATAATAAATATCAGTATCAATTATAAAACATTACTACTATTCAGCTTCTGAGCACAGATGAAACTTCTCTCTATTCTTAGGCCTTATATTTTTTGGAAAAATCACTTAACCCCAATTGCCTCACAGAAAACAAAAGAAAAAATAAAAACAACTCAATGAATTCAGATGTTTTTTCAGTTGATGCAGAAATTACAGTCTTTTTTTAACTCTTGAATGCTGGGTTTCAGGAAACATGATATTGGTCAAGGAGCTGATGTGTTCTTGGAGTCCATTTCTTCATCCTCAGTCCCTGAATTTTCTTGTGAGCTTGTTCATGAACAGAAAGATCTTCCTGATCTCTACTCTCACAATTTCCCAGGCACAGTGGCTATACTCTTTACCTTGCAGGTACTGGCTTATTCCTTGGAAGTAGCTCTTCAGGGCCAGCCTGGGGTTCTCACTTCCCAAGGAAGGCTCTTCCCACTCCACATCCTGCCCAAGACACCTCTCCAGCTGTTCCAGCTGCTGATCCAGGCCACTGAGCAGTTGCATGAGCTGGGTCTGATTCCAAGCTGCAGGAGTGGCACTCAGGCTGAAGATGGTGAAGATCTGCTGGAGCATCTCATGAACGATGACTGTGGCATTTTCCCTCTGGAGCTGGCTGCCTTCCGTGGCTTCCTTTGGGAAGTTGAAGTTGGTCCTGTCCTTCCAACATGGTCCCAAGGAAAATGGGCTCATTTGGTTCAGAAGTGAGAAGTCTTCCAGAAGGCCCTGAGTCAGGTCACAGCCCAGGGAGCAGAGGGTGCTGGAGCAGAGCAGCACCAGGGCAACTGGCAAAAAGGTCCCGGAGGTCATGATGACACTGAGGATGGTTTGGGTTTGGCTGAGCTGGGAGACCAGTGAGCCTTTGTCTCAGCTTCTTGAGTTATCTAGCCTCTAAGCCACTCTCTCTTAAATAGTGCTGAGTGTGGTTTTCACTTCTTAGAATGTAATTTCCCTTCACTTTCTGCTTTCTTTTACTTAGTTTCCACATCAGTTTTAGAAGACACCATCAAAAAGTCATCATCTGGATTATTTGTAAAAAGGCAACTAAATTACCATTAGTTATATTCTGGATAAGTTTTGTGTGTAAAAGGAATTCCTCCTGGCAATCTTGTATCTCTCCAGCATCTGGCACATTGTAGCACAAGCACCAAGTCTTATCAGTTACCTATGAAATAGCTCTTTCCACCCCCATTATATTCACCAAAGTGTCTGTCCTCATCTACTTTTGCCTATACCATTGTAATAATTGCATTGATAATAATACTTTATATTTATGCAGACATTTAAGGTTTTCAAAAATGCTTCCTGCAAACTCTTGTCAACACCCGGTAGTTTAAACTAATATTATTTTGATTTTATTGAGGAAAAAGTAAGAGTCTCACAGATTTCAGTGACTTCTCAAAGAATACTCAGGTGATAAGTATTCTAGCTTACTTTGTCCAAATCTGAATACTTTAGTCCCATCCTGCCATCTTCTATTTCCTTGTATTTGTGTGTCTCTGAATTGCTTTCGTCCACTTTTCTATCTATCGGCATCTTACTTGTTTAGTGCCCAACTTAAGAGTAATTTCCTTCATGATACCTTCTCTGTGTCTTTCCTTTCATGGTACCTTGCCTATAACAGGCAGCTACATCCATATATATATGGATGTATTGATGTTTGTGCATGTATGTATATGTATATGTGTATATACGCATATATATTTACATGCATACCCACATTTGTACACATGTGTATATACATGAATATATGTGTGTATATATGTATATAAACATGTATGTACATATATATGTATGCATGTATGTCTGTGTATATGTCTGAACCTAAGAACATTCCATGATTAGGTTATTGAACTGAACAATGGAACTGATATGATTTCCAAGGTACTTTACCCTTCTAACATTCCTGTATTCTGTGATTCATGCCTGTTAGGTAAGATAGAACCAAATTTGATCAAAAACAAGATTGGTATGACTATATATTCAGTGAATCGGGGATGACTTTTAATAATAAGGTGGGCTCAATTTTTATTTTCTTTATATAGTGAAGTAAAATGGAAAATTTCAGCCCCATAGATTTCCCTTTGAGACTTGCTATGTGGAAAACAGGGTGCAAGTAGTGCTGTGAGTTAGCTGTTGGGGTACCTTAGACTGTAGTAGAGGACAGATTGACAATTTCTGTTTTCATTTGGAATCCACTGATTCTCCCTTGGTAGTACATTGCAGTCTTGGCTTGTCTCTTGTCTTGGCTTCCCTCTGCATTCTGAGCTGCTGATGTCATCGCATTGTATTCTGGCAAGCTGAATTTCCACTTGTTCAGGGGGGAGACCACGTTTTCTACTTCCATTTTCATCATGTTTAATGTGCATTCAGTTTCCTTCTGATCTGTGTCATCACTTGAGCTTTCGAGGATTTTCTTTGTTGAGGGTCAGAGGGGAAATTACTTTTACTTTCTCTCTCTCTCTTTTTTTTTTTTATCATGTTTAATGTGCACCACTATAGCCTCACTGTGTTTCAGTGGAAAGAAGACTGGCTGTGGAGTTGAAGGATCTCTGTCCAATCCTGCCTCTATCACTTCCTACCTAGGTGACCATGAGCAAGTCATTTTAGCATTCTAAGTCTCGTTTCCTTATGTTTAAAATGAGGGGGTTGGACTGGATGACCCCAAAGGCACCTTTACAGCAATGATATATGGTCTTTTGGTGTTATGGAAGCCTAAGGGTGACATGGAGGAAGAGTGACAGAAACTTGGAGCAGGTAAAGGGCTCTAGATAATGAGGATGCAGAGAGCTGGTCCAGACCCAGAACCCTTAAAGTTTTAGTATTTATTACTATTAGTATAATTATAATATTAGCATTATTTCAAAATGGTACCTATCTTTACAACCATCTAACTATTTAAAAACATTTATTGTTATGTTTTATTCGTCTTTATTTGTGAATATATGTGCATAATATTTATATATACAATATATGCATATATATGTACATATAAATTTCTGAAGAAAAAAAAAAGTATTTCCTCCCCTCACTTTAGTGAGCTGTCCTTTGTAATAAAGGCAGCTAGGTGGCATAGTGGATGCAATGCTGGGCCCAGAGTCAGGAAGAACTGAGCTCAAATCTGTCCTCAGATTCTTGAAAGCTACATGACCATGGACAAGTCACTTAACCTCCTTTTACCTCAGTTTCTTCATCTGTAAAATGACTATAACTTTACTATCTACTTCCCAGGATGGCTGCGAGGGTAAAAATGGAATTCTATGTCCAAAATGCTTAGCACAGTGTCTGGTACATAGCAGAGGCCATGTAAATGCTGGCTATTCTTTTTCTTTATAACTAAGAAATAGACAAAAAAGCTTACCAAGGTTTACCAACACGTTAACTGAGTCAGATTGTACATATAACATTCCATACTCATATTCCTCCCCTCTCCAAAGAAGGAAGAAAAGCATATTTACAGTTTCTTCTGTTCTTTGGGGCCAACTTGATCCTTAAAGTTACAATGCTCATTTTTTTTCTATTTATGTTGTTCTTCCCATTTATATTGTAGTGATTGTGTATATTGTTTGCTTGATTGTGTGCACTTCATTCTGTATCTGTTCATATGTCTTTCCATGCCTATTTGTATTCTCCATAGTGAACACTCCAATAGTATTTGATAACACCCATGTCTCTCAATTTATTTAGTGTTTCCCCCGACTGATGGGCATTTACTTTGTTTCCAACTCTTTCTTTACCACAAAATAGCGAATCACCTTTATTAATTTTTGTAGACATTTATTTTTGTGAAATGCAAATGCTCATGAAAGAGTCTTAGAAATTGTGATATACAACTCTGAATGACTTAGCTATTCTCAGCATTACAATGATTCAAGACAACTCTGAAGAACTTATGATGAAAAATACCATCCATCCCCAGAGAAAGAATTTTGATGGAATCTGAATACAGATGGAAGCATTTTTAAACTTTATTTTTCCTGAATTTTCATTTTGGTTTCTGTTTTATTTTACAACAAAACCAATATGGAAATATGTTTCATGGGACTACACATGTATAACCTATATCAAATTGCTTGCTTTGTCAATGAGGGTGGAAAGCAGGACAAGAGAGAGAGAATTTGGAACTCAATTTGAAAAATGAGTGTTGAAAACTTTTTATGTGTAGTTGGGGAAAAATAAAACACTAAATAAATAAGTACATAAATTCTTTTAAAAAATTGTGATATAAACTGTGCTTATATATTGGGTGCACTAGGCCATGAGGACCAAAGACCTTTGAAAATGCATAATATGTTATGCTAGGTGCCATTACATTCAACGTCTGCTTCTAGGCATGATAGAGGGTCACTTTCTCAGAATCAGAGGCTGCACAGATGTTCAGTAACTGTTTTCTGATTTGTAACTGGGCAATGATGAAAAGTTTTTTAACTGGGCACTGAGTTAGAATTAATTTTGAATATATATCATTGAAATGAATGGGAAAATGCTATCTTTCCCTGGTATCTTTCAAGTGAGAAGGGAGAATTGCTGTGAGCTGCTGGGTCATGAGGCTTTTAGCATTTCTTCTACAAAAACGGTCTCTTCCTGTTTTTATTGTGCGTTCCTATCAGTAAACATTTTTTGAGAACATACCCACATTATTACAAATATGAGTTTATTTATACATTACATACACAAATTACTACACTGATAATTACACATTCAAATGAAAGAAGGGAAAATAAAGATGAAATAATATTTCATCCTAGAGACATTAGGGAGTCACTGGAGTTTATAGATCAAGACAATGACATGGTCGGACCTGTGCTTGAGGAAAATCATTTTGGTAGCCTTGTGTAGGATGGATCAGACTAGCAAGACTAGAAGCAGAGAACCAATTAGGAATCTATTGTAGTACTTTGGACTAGAAGAAGCTGGGTGAATAGAGTAGAGACATACATAAGACATATTGTGAGGCTAGAAATGATGTGGTTTGACAACTGATTTGACATGTGGCATGGGGGAAAGTGAGGCACTGATGTCAACGATTAATATCACACAATTTTGAGCCTACTGTGGAAGTTTAGAAGAGGGGCATGTTTGCCAAACTTGAGGGAGGAAGAGATAATGTAATCATAATCCATGCCTGTCCAGTCTTTCACACCAAAAAAAGAAAAGGAAAAGGAAAAGAAAATTGTGCATGTGGTTTTACTCACTGGTCTTTGCTCTAGACACTGAGCAGTGTCTGCTGTAGCCAGGAATAGATGGAAGTGAGGAGAAACAGAGTTTGAAGATGCTTTCCTACCTGAGTGGTTGTCTTGGTCACATCAGTAAGCTCTGAGAAGCCAATGCCCTATGCATCCCAAGAAGGCCAGAGCTGAGAAGGGATAGCATGGGGAATGTTTAAGGCTATGGTGTCATTTTGTTGGAGACAAATCAACAAGGAGAATACGGTGGACCTCAAACAATCGTCTCGCTCTCCAATTGATCACATGTTCCTTGCTGTTCAAGCCAGGTCCCACCTAAAGTCACTTATTCCATGTGAGGCCAATGTTCTACAAAAATCAGTCCTTACATGATCAAAATTATGCTGCCATCTACTGGTTCAAGTTGTCACGTGTTGGCCCTCGGGCCTTCAAAAAAATGTCAAGACCCCAACTCAATTCCAGGGAGTAGATTGCCTGAGTCAATAACATTCATCTTTTAATGCAAAAGATCTCATTTGTGGAAGTCACTTAAGCACTGTTTACCTCAATGGATTTTAGAAGTTTGTTTGTTTGTGGGGTTTTTTGTAACCTAACCTCAAAGGTGAAATACTATCAAAATTTAAG